AAGATGACGGACAAAGACAGGTGGACCGAACCAAAGCTATTTGTCTGCATTGTTCAACTACAACTGGTTACGCGGCTGGCAATACATCAAACTTGCACACTCATTAGAAAAGGCATCACCCAAACGTGAATATCAGCGATACCAAAAGAAAAAAGACTGAAGTGCAAACCCAACTCCCGCTAGCATTTAAGCCTCCACCACTCGCAACACAAGTTCAGACCGAGCCAAAGCTATTACAAACGCCAAATCTCCTTATGTTGCCATGTTAGCAAAGCGTTACCTGGCTGTATCTGCTACCTCTGTCCCTAGAGAGGGTGTTCTCCACAGCAGGAGACATTGTTATTGCCAGCAGATCTGCCCTTTCGGCAAGCAAGTTAATTTTTCTTTAAAAAAACATGAAAATACAATGACAAGCAAGTCATAATGTCAAACTGGCTGCTTAGGTAGGCCTACTAGTCCAGTACAGTTCAAATACAGATTATTTCAGTTCATCGAGATGCTGCACCTTAATGTTTATTTTATTATATTTTGTATTTATTTGAGTGAATACATTATTCACAGTTTAATAATAATAAAAAAAAAAAAAAAAATGTTTTATGTTTTGTGATAATTTTTTCTGCTGTACCGAAAACGTACCGAACCGAACCGTGACCTAAAAGCCGAGGTACGTACCGAACCGAAATGTTTGTGAACCGTTACACCCCTAGTATCGGCCGATTCTTATTCCGGTGATCGGCCCCAAAACCCCCTGATCGGAGCATCCCTATTAATAATGTATAATCCTACACCTACAGAGAAGCCCCATCGAAGAGGTGGCAAGAACCCACAGGTCATTTCCACGCCACTTCTCAAAAGCGCCTGCAAGGGGAAGAAAAAAAAAAAAAAATCCGGTCTCGGGTGGTCGCCAGCGGTGGGAAGACTGTAACCCTGCAGTTCTATATGTTGAAAGGAAATACAGACAGGACACCAACAGCATGCAGCGAATTAACACTCCTCCTTGCTGGGATGGGGAGACGCACCATCACACTACCCGAGTCTGCTGACCACTTTGAGGTAAATTGAGCCAACCTGGATTTATTAAGTGTGTTTTTGTACAAAACAAAATGTACAATGTATCCTTAATATTTGAACACGTCTATCTAAAATCTGGTGTATACCCTCATGCGAAGCTTTCAAACATAGAATATGGATGAAAGGTGTACTTCTTTCATGGGTGTATTGTGTTTTTTACAGATTTCAAGACTCCTGACCAGTCACTACCCGAAACTTGAGACTATATCAGGAGGCTGGCTGCTGTATAAAGCCCTCGGTATTGTAGATATACAAAAGCTGTGTACTGAATCATTTATTTATGTTTTTAGTCTTCATTTATTCAGTTATTGCTCGTTTCAGGTGGATCGGGACAACGCAAACTCTCAGTTATCCCCCATGATAATGAAGGTTATAATGTCCACTTTCTCAAAACTGTGACCGGAGGAGGAAAGAACACAATCTACATTCTTCCACTCCAGGATGAATTGGATACATCCCCTCTTCCTCCAGATGCAAATGAGTTTCAGAAGATGCCTAAGGAGTCTTGTAGAGTCTGTGGATCTTGCATGCCATTACAAGTATTGGCTGCGCATGTGAAGTCCTGTGTGGAACAGCCATCATCAAGGGATGACTTTGATCTTCATGGAGGGGTAATTACAAATTTGAACAGCTTTTGATTGTTCTCATTATTTAAAAAATATTCTTCAAGTGTAAAACCTAATACCTTTTTTTAGTCTTCCCTGAAGTGACAATGGTTGCTGAGTCCATTCCAGCAGAATCTACAGAAGGGACCAGTAATACCACGCTAAACGCAACCATGAGACCACATTTTGTAATACAAAAAACATTTAATACCAGCCTATAAAGATAACATTGTCATGCAACCAATAGCAATTATTTAATTAATGTAAGTGGTTTTCTTGTCTTTTCACGTCACTGCGTTTGCATTTAGGCTGCCTGTCCAGTATGTCTGATAGAATACCCACTGGCTTATTTACAAATCCATGCCAGCTCATGTGGAGACAGGTGAACATAAATACATCATTTTTTCTCTGTAGGAGATGAACAGAAAATGTCTATTTGGAATGTGTGACATTTGGAATAAAGGACAGGATCCTTACAAGTTAAAGTACTCAATGGAGAAAGTGTGTGCAATTAGTATACATAATTTAAGCACTGTTCTGACTGGTTATTTTGATCTCATTAGAATCTGAATAAAAAGTACAAATTCTGGGATGCATTTAGTGATTCAACAATACAGAGGCTCCCCGGTAATGTTAATTGTGTTCCCTTCTACTGTATACTTCTACAGCAACATAAAGGCTTTAATGGAAACTCTTTGCAATTTTAAATGTACATAATGGTCATTTGTAATCCTTGTGTAATCATGTTTTACTTGACAGTGTGGAGGAAACGCCCTCCAGGATGCAAGATGCCTCTAAATCCACTGAAGATGAAATTGAAAAGTATGTTTTTACATTACATTTTGACTAACTTAACATGTTCTGATTCAATGAAAAGAAATCAGTGCTACTCCGGGCATCATCAAAAACAAACATAGCAATACATAGCTTGTATCTACCTATATTCATGTATTTTAAGTTGTTATTACACTTGTACTGTTAAGGATACATGTAAAATATTGATGTCATTTATTAATTGGACTGAAATATTTTAGAAATGCATGCAGTATTTTTGGAAAAATAAGATGCACTGAACAGTTTTTAACTATTTCTATAATGTACTGTATATAATTACCAATACATCTCGATGTGGTTGTATCACTAGCCACCTCAATCATATCACATTCAATCAAAAATTTATTAATTTTGGCGCTAAAAGTGATTTCCTGCACCGTACCCAGCCCTACTGTTTGTACCCAAGTGTGGGTCATAGCATTTTTAACTCGTCATTGACTTGAGTATTGAATGAGAGATTTGACTAACACTTAAAAAGTATTTTCCTTTCCTTTTCCCGCTCTTTAGTCTTGATGATGTTATCCAGGCAATTGCTGATGTAGTAACAACAGATGGCAAAACCTTTGACATCACAGTGTCCCGCCAGAACATGTTGAGGGGCCTCGTGCAATGGCAGCGCTAAAAGAAAACATCCCCAACCAACCAACCAACCAACCAACCAACCAACCAACCAACCAACTGAAAGTCGTCTTTTTAGGTGAAGCTGGTATAGATACAGGGGCTCTCCGTAAAGAGGTATGTGTGTAGGATAAAAAAAAAAAAGTTATGCCATCAGAATAATTTGATGGTTCTATAGTCACATCAAAGTTGTACTTTAAATATTGTAGTTATGCAAGATGTCTGATTGTGCATTTCATCAGGAACGTTAATGTAATGCATAATTCTAATGTCTAAGGAATGGTGGTGGGCATTGAAGAGCGGTTCTTTGAGAAGGACACCCCTGGCAGAAGACCCAACTATTCACTGTCTGATTTAGACAAAGGCCATTGCAGGTATGTGCTTTATGATCCATTTCAGTGTCTGGTATCTGAATTGGGTTAATCTGGGCAACCATAGACTACTAATAATATACTTAAACCTGCAATTCGCCAACTTGGGGGCAGCAGAAAATAACCGGCATATCACCTTTTTAAGTTGATCATGTTTCTGTCCACCTGGTGAATGTAAGTCCTACTCTCTTTTTAGCGCTGTTTCTGCTCTCTTTACCAACTCCTGAGGGAAATATCTGGCTCTTTAGCAGCTAAATGCTCTACTCGCTCATCAGCTAGTCTGCAGCTAACTGTGCGTGTTTGCCATTTGGTGATGAGCAGGTAGTGTACATTGGGTTTTGAGTGCTTTTTCTCTGAAAACAGCTGCAGCCAAAAACAACGCTATGAGTATGCTGAGAGTGAACCCAAACACTGAGCTACAAGAGGAAAGTTCCGTAGAGCTTTGGGGAATTTAGGAGTTGGTGATAGTTTTATCTCTGCGTACATCACTGCAGGCAACAACAACAAATTATATTAAAGCATCACAGTTTTCTTAACAATTCATTGTTATTAGCCAGGTACATACATTTAAAAAAAGCACTTGTGCCTTTGTTGTTTTTTCAGGACTGTGGGAGAAATAATGGCTGCCAGGCTTGGCCCAAGGAAGACCAGCTCCGAATTTCCTGATGCCTTGGTGCTACAAGTTCCTGTGCACTGGGTCCCTGGACTTGGGAAAATTGGACAAAAGCGATGTGGGAGATGATCAATATACTGATCTCTTATCAAAAGTAAGAACATAAACACTTAGTTGGCAGCCTAACCTTAATTACAGCAACATTACTGACCTGACAGTTGTAGTCTTTGTAACATGAGCCTTTCTTGACATAAAAAAGCAAAGACTAATCATCAGTCTAGATCTGACAAAGCATAGAGACAACCATGATATGATCACACTTTCTTGATTACCAGGAAGAAAATTCTAATTTCAGGTGGAGACAGCCACTGACACAACAATTCAAGTTCTCACAGAGGAGATCTTGAACTGTGGTTACACAGGATTAATCAGCTTGGAGAAAAAGGGCGAAATAATCCGGTATGTTAGAGATGTTGGTGCTTAATGTATTGTTTCAGAATACAAAATGTGTGTGTAATGTGTATGAATGTTTCTAGATTTGATCTAAAAAAAAACATAAAAGCTACAACTCCACATTTTGGCATCATCACCTGACAACATGGTGAAGCTATAACAATCCCTTTTTCATTGTGGTCTATCATTTAACCATACTCCCACTGAGAAAAGTCATTATGTCACTGTATTATGTAGAAGCTCTGGTCATTATTGCCCAACCAGACTTGCCATTGTGCCATAATTGGGTTCCCATGTTTTGGGGATAAAATGGCCTTTTTTAAGGAAATACCCCAACCTTGGATAAATGAATTGTATTCCCTAATAAAACATTACACATTACATTCCCCATAAATTCATAACGTTTTACGTATTTTGTGATTAATCATGTTTATTTTTGTTTTACATGTTATGTTGTTTGTATTTGTGCATGTGTGCATGTCATTTATTTCAAAAACAGTGCTATTGTCCTCCATGCAAACCTGAGGCTGTTCCCGATGCTGCTGCAGATTAAGGATGGCTTGAACCTGTATGGCTTGTGCAATATCATGGCCAAATACCCTGATATCTGTCAGCCTTTGTTTGTACCAGGGGTAGAAATGACAGTAAGTGCACCATAGATACAATTTTAAGATTGTAGATTGAGTTGAAATGGTGTGCTCTGTGTGCGTCAGTTAGTCTTAAATGCAAGAGTGACAAGTGCTCAACTCACTTGTTTTGTGTAGATCAGACTTCTTACACAGGAAACTTCAACGTCATTAAATACCAAAAGATAGGAGAGGTAGGAGAACTTATCTCCAGACCGAGTATCACTTCAATGGGATCGCAAACCAGACAAACATTTGCATTAATTGGGGATGTGGCAGGACCAGTGTTAGAAGTAAGTATGATTGCAAGGGTCACATTTTATTTTAATAAGATGATTGATAAATTATTAGCAATCAATTTATCAGATCTGAAATATTGTAGATGAGATGTGTCATTGCATAACTCAGTTTGTGTGCATTGCTACATAATCTGAACCCTGGGAATTGTTAAAAATGTTCAGTGCATCATTTAGGTGTTTATATGCTAAAATATAGTAAGAATACAGTTTAAATCTATCTTAAATCCTTATTAAACTGAACAATATACAGCTGTTTGTTGTTGAAATATGTGGTAATAGCACACTCACTTGATATTAGCTGGATTTCAACAGGTCTGCTTCACGCTAAAGCTATTATACAAAAAGGGCAATGACCTCTCAGTCTCTAAAAAGATACAAAGGTACAAAATGAATGACTGGTTACTGCTACAGCTCCCATGTAGTCTACATTCTTACATTGTAGGTGCCTCATGAATGATGGAAAAAGTAAAGGGATCTCAGTAACAATGTAGAGTATATCACAGCGTTTAACAACTATAAGGTCCAAATTAATGGATTACACCATTGTAAAACAATATCAAAACCATGAATCTGTCCAATGGTACTATAGACATTTAGCCTTTCTCAAGAGGTTCTGGTATGGCGATGAGATTGTTTTTATATTACATTTTTATATATACACTGAAAACTGGATTGTGCTAATGGGTGCTCTGCTTTCATTTGACAGGCAGGCTGATGCAGACTTCATCATATCTGTGTGCCAAGCAGAATTCAGTGAGAGAGGCTCAAACAAGGAACAGGTGGAGGTGACTTTAATGAATCATCTGCAGGATTTCCTCCAGGAAATGGAGCAAGGTAAAATAATTTGCTGTTCTGTGACTGAAATGTAACCATCTTTATTGGTTAATAAAATCAAATAAATAACACATTTACAATATCTCTTCCTCTTAAAATATATATCATCTGCAGTACAAAAGTTTTGCCGGAAAATTTCATTTTAAAATGTTAGTTATCTTTATTGCCTCTAATTTCAGACAAAACTGATTCAGGGATGGAGAATGCTGCACTTCCCTCATTATCTCCAAAAGCATTTCTTCAGTGGATAACCGGGCAAGGCCATGTTCCTGTCCTGCAGGAAGAGAAGAGACGTTTCAAAGTGAATGTTAAGTTCAATCATCACTGCCAGTCACATTTTGGGGAACACAGCATATGTTATCCATCTGTTGCAGCTTGCAGTAGAACCATCACCTTCCCTGTCCAACACATGAGATCATATGGCGATTTCAAAGTAGTCCTGGTGGAGGCGTTCCATCTGGGACAAGAATTGTCACTGGTGTAGATGAATAAGTTATTCATGCAACTGCTGGTTTAGTTCACTTTAAAAGTTTTAACTTTTAGTTTTTAAGACTGCCACAGATGAAAAACATTTAAAACAGGAAGAAAACATTTGTTCTAAATAAAAAAATGTTTGAAACTTTGAGTTGGTCTTTTTCATATGTCTACATGTATATGGCACAGCAGGTGGTGCTCAGACTTACCAACATGACAGCTGCTCACTGGAAGATTTGAAGACAACGACAGTAAATGTCTCGACCATGGGAGTCGGATGGGTCGGTAGCGTCCACAGCAGCTTGAAGGTCTGCCATATCTTGCTCATTTATGGGCGTGGGAAATTCTGGAACAACAAGCCCAGACTCTTGTAGGGACTCATCACAGTAAAGGGCACTC